TTTCTGGTATTTCGAGGAGATAATATTTCTCTGTTTAACATTCTATGACAGTAGAGTAAAAACCTAAGACAACAGAAGTTATACCTCGGTTCCCATCCAAGTACTTCCGCCATTCCAACAAATGAAAGAAGAAACGGAATTCCTCTCTTTGCTGCTTGAATTGCAAGCTCGCGGTGACCAATATGGAGTGCATCAAATTTCCCCAGAGCTACTATCCCGCCTATTGAAACGAAAAATAATAATTGAGAATTTACACATAAATGATATCCACAAATCCTCTATTTTCTTCTCATTTACAACGCAATTATAACAAGGGGAATTGAAACTCTCTTTATTTCTTTGATGATAAGCAACAATCAGAACTAAAACTTACTAATTGAAGAAAGTAATTGTAGGTCCTAAGTAAATTTAGAACAAACTTGCAGATTGGCCATTCAACTATTCACAGCTAGATTACCCCTGATCTTCTTATACAAAGTAAAGTTTTTTGGTAAGTAAGTCATATTGACTGGCATCAAGAAGATGCTGAATGAGTACAAAGGAGAAAAAGGGAAAGCTCCTGGATACAAAAAACTACCGATAGAGCATTGAGCTATTTCTCTAAATGACCAAAGGTTTGGCTGTTAAGCCAAAGACAGGGAGCTAATGAAATCTACAAGAGGAATAACATCATTTACAGGGGCTAAATTGCTCCAGCTGAAAAGAAGGATCAAACACTTGAACTTCAGAGAGGTGATAGGAGTTTTTATTTAAAAAAGAAGAAAGAAAGAGAAGAGATAGGAGTTGAAAACCCATCAAAACTTTATTTCTTATACAAAAATAAAGTAAAAAGTATGTCGAAAGAACAGGTCTGAAGTATTAACAAAACAAATTGATGAGACAATGGACAATATTTCTCTTTGTGATGACTCGTGTATTGGAACATATTTCAACGGGTTTCACAGGGTTTTTATGTTGTGATACTAAGGGCTGTTCTTTGACCTGGCAGTATAACAGAGGACTGACGTACACAGATTGCAACACATATAAATATGTACACTAAAAGAAATGGCCAAATCTTGATACCTATTTCCTACATTTTCTTTAGAAACCAGGAAGAGAAAAATAAAAGAAATTACAAAACGAAAGAATACGCATAAGAGCCAATATAGCAATGCAACAAAGATTATGACATAAAGAATGGCTGACAACAACTAACAAGACACCTATGTAGCATTTAATCATTGGAAAAACTTCATGAGTTAGAATAAATGAAAATGGGTATTAATATAAATTCAGCATACATGAAATATCGTTTGATAATTTTATTACTAGTAGTATATGGGTACGAGCAAACCTGTCAGAATGGGCAATCTTTCTGATGGAGGCTCCTCATCTGTTCCAGATTGGCTTTACATGAAATAGACCACACATTTAGCACTGGGATTCTAAGGAGAGTCATACTTAAATACAAAATGACATTACAATGTCAATGCAATGGAATGAAAAGCTCTCAGACCTTTGTATGCTTCATTTAAACATAAATACAAAATGACATTACAATTTAGCACTGGGATTCTAAGGAGAGTCATACTTAAATACAAAATGACATTACAATGTCAATGCAATGGAATGAAAAGCTCTCAGACCTTTGTAAGCTTCATTTAAACATAAAATGAAAACTACCCCAAATAGTCAAATACTATGCCCAAATGAAATGTGTAACCATCTCATCTAAAAACTTATATTATTAAAGGAAGACACTCTTATTTATTTGTTTTAGGTCACAACACGCTTCTTGTGCAGCACCTGATTCTTTCTATTGAGCCAAGCATGCGGAACTATTTTTGTAGATGACTGGAAACAAGACTCAAACATGGGGCCGTCAGCTCTCTACTCTGTTGCCCAGTTAAAGTGTGTGAATCCTCTCATCTAAAACTTTAAACAGTTAAGAAAGAAATAACATTATCTATTTATTTTAGATATACAATAAAAAGTCAACCACACCACAGTTTACTAAGCACAAAGGCATACCTGCCCATACTTATATGATATTCCAATAAACTTTACATATTGTTTATGTCAAAAATGTGATCCAAACTTATAGCTTTAACTAAATTTTCCCTTTCATCTTATTGCATTTATAAAGGTCTGCTTCCAACCTTCCATTCACCCATTCAATTTCTAGCAATCACAAGCTTATAAATCAAGGCTTAACAAAAGAGCTTCCTTTTCTACATTTGTCTTTTCAATGACAAAAGGTTTTAAGGGGAAAAAAATGATTTACCTCAAACTATTAAAATGCACGGAACTTTGGAATCTAAATATTCGGGTTGAACACAACTGATAAAAAAGCCCCCAGAATCACTCGATTTTTTGTTCTTTTGATAACCGAGAAATCCCTAAAGGCTAGTGGTGCACAGTTCGAAACTCGCCCTATGACGGGTCCGCCCCTCTACCCTTACCCACTTAAATACCAGGCTTTTGACTGTGGAACTGCTCTAACCCGTGTTGTGCACCTAACGCGATGTCATGTGTTGGGCTCTTATCACTTTGACTAAAGCCCTGGGGGGCCAAAATCACTCAATTTATTGCTCAAACAAGAGCTGACATGTTGAATTACCTCAAACTTTCAGAAAGTTAAGAGCTTTAGGCATCAAGATTTAGGTTGTACACAATTGACAGAAAGAATCCCAAAATAACTACATCTTACCGCTCAAGCAAGAACATTATGATAAATATCTCAAACTACCCCAAAAATCACTATAGTCACTGCTCAAAGAAGATAAGTTAATAAATTACCTCAAACTTACAAAAAGTAAAGAGCTTTGAATATCTAAGATTTAGGTTGTTGATTAAAAAAATCCTAAAATGACTAAATTTTACTGCTCATGCAAGAACTTCTATGATAAATAGATCAATTTACCCCAAAAATCACCACATTTACTGCTCAAAGAAGAACAGTTATGATAAATTACCTCAAACTTTCAGAAAATAAAGAGTTTGGATATCTAAGATTTAGGTTGTACACAATTGATGAAAACAATCCCAAAATTACTTAACTTTACCTCTAGCAATAACATGTATGATAAGTACCTCAAATTACTGCTTAAGAGTATGATAAATTACCTCAAACTTCCAGAAAGTAAAGAACTTTCGGTGTCTGAAGATTTGGGTCGAACACAATTGACCCCAAAAATCACAAACTTCATTGCTCAAACAAGAATCTATGATAAATACCTCAAAATTACCCCAAAAATCACTAATTTCATTAGTCAAACAAGAATCTATGATAAATACCTCAAAATTATCCCCAAAATCATTAAATTAGTTCGATAAATTACCTCAAAGTTTCAGAAGTAAAGAGCTTTGGGTATCTGAAGATTTGGGTCGAACACAATTGACCTCACAATCACTAACTACGATGAATACCTCAAAATTACCCCAAAAAAATCACTCACTTCATTGCTCATATAAGAATCTATGATAACTACCTCAAAATTACCCAAAATCACTAAATTTACTGCTCAAATTACAATAAATTACCTCAAAGTTTCAGAAAGCAAAGAGCTTTGAGTATCTGAAGATTTGGGTGGAACACAATTGACCCCGAAATCACAAACTTTATTGCTCAAACAAGAACTGCTACTATTCCTGTTCCTCAATCTGATTCTTAAATTCTTGAAGGAAGAATTTGAGGTTAGTGTAGAAGCAGCTAAAATGGTGGAAAATTGGTGAGCACTGCAATGAAAATTACAGTGCTGAGATATACACCGAGACCCACCCAGCATTCTTAATTTTCATCAGAAGAAGATTGAGATGGATTCGGCCTATTGTTGTACTACCATTTTGGTTTTTATTTCCAAATAGAAAGAAGAAGCCTATCTGCGATTGGCGTGGACGTATTTGGATCAATAGTTTTGGTTTCTTGTTTTAGGGGTTATTTCTCTAACTTTAGGTTTCCTTAATGGCGAAAAATCTTATTTTATATAAAGTACGTATTCAAAATTACAAGACATAGATGTTTGTTGAGATCAAGTTAAGAAATATAGCTTTTTCATATATTATACCTTGTGCATAAATGATTGTGCCTTGTGCAAATATTTTTATACATTGAACTGAACTTGATATAAAATTAAACAAATAGATACATAGGTGTTAGGTGACAGAATATACATAGGATGCAAATTGATCACGTAGGATGCCACAGAGGACGCATATGTCTACTTATTCAAATTCATTTTTTATCCTATCTTTTTATAGTAGCTCTACCGTGTATTCTATTTTTTTTGTAGGTTTATCATTTAAATTATAGATGTGTGACATTATGTATGACAGAGAACGATACAATCTATCTAAATAGTGTATTCATTAAAATAATACAATACGATGCTATGCTACACATTATAAAACAAGAAATAGCAACCATCCAACTAATAAAGTGTGAGAGAAAAACCGATCCAATAAAGATGTATATGTGATATTTGTTAAAATGAGATACATTATAATGATGTCTTTAAAATTACATTTCCTAATGTGTTTCTGCCTCTGTTCTCCTAAGCGATTGAGAGAGGATTCCTGAAAAAATAAACATAATATATAGATAGACATTTTAACGTAGTTTCAACTAACAACTAAACATTTCAATATTGGAAATCTACATCTAGACACCTTAATTTGATTTAAATTGGCACAGTAAACATCCAACTTTGAGAATGCACCCTCTTAAAGGTGTTTGTGAAATGCACTTGTGTCCAGTTGGAGTGTCTAGATGGTCACAATGAAAGTTGGAGTGTTCAACTGCCGGTGAAGACCAAGTTAAAGTGTTTGTCTATGTATTATGCCTAAAAGATAGTGAACTACTCTTTCTAGACAAGTACAGGAACTTGCAACTTCCACAAGCCACCTCTACCATTGTGCAATCTATGTTACTCGGGCTCTTCAAAAATGGCAATGGGTGCGTGTTGGATCCTCCAAAAATAGTGTATTTTGGGAGAATCCGACATGGTGCGACATCGAAAGTGACGAGTCCGCTCAACTTAGCATGCAATGGCAGCTATTACAGGTTCTTCAAACTCTTCAGATGAGGAAAAATCCAACATGGTTTGCTCCTCATCACCATCCAAATGACCAGCATTTGGGACATAGCCAGAAAGCTTCATCAATTTAGTTAGTGTATTCAATATCAAATATATCTCTTTTTTCTGCGCGTGTCTCCTATCTTTTACCATGAAAACATGAACCTGACTTTGTATTTCAATCCAACTACAACCAGGCTGTTTAACAACGCCTCGTTGTCTCATAAGTTTTCGGACCATTTTGACATCTTGCCATCTTCCTTGTTCAGCATACATGTTTGATAAAAGAACATAAGGGCCAGAATTTGTAGGATCAATCTCCAAAAGCTTCTCAGCTACATACTTTCCCAGCTCAATTTCCCTGTGAATTTTACATGCAGCGAGCAAAGACCCCCATACCACACTATCTGGTGGCATCGGCATGGATTCAATCAAATCCTTTGCCTCTTCTAAGCAACCAGCCTTGCCAAGTAAATCGACCATGCATGTATAGTGGTCCTTAAACGGTGTCAACCTGTACTCTGTGTCCATGGAATAGAAACATTGACGCCCCTCCTCAACCAATCCTGCATGACTACATGCACATAGAACTCCAATCATAGTTACGTGATCTGGCTTCTCTCCGGATACTAACATAACCTTGAAAGTTTCAAGAGCTTTCATAGCATGCCCATTTTGTGCATATCCAACTATTACGGCATTCCATGAAACCCAGTCTCTGTCCAGCATTTTTGTGAATACACAGCTACCATCTTCAACTGATCCACATTTCATATACATGTCTATGAGAGCATTTCCCACAAAAACATCAGGCTCGGGTCCATTCTGGAAACGAAATCCATGCTTCAAAATATGTGCATGAGCCTGCCTACCAAGTTTCAGATCAGCTAAATTTGCACATGCGTTAAGGAGATTCCCAAACGTATAATGAGTTGGCCAAACAGGTTCTCTTTTTAGCATAAGAAAGAGATTTAATGCCTCTTCATTGTTCCCATTCTGTGTATATCCAGCAATAAGAGCATTCCAAGACACAACATTCCTTTCAATCATCCCCAAAAACACAGCTCTTGCAGTCTTCACACTTGCAACTCTCGCATAACCACTTACCAAACAGGTGTCGGACACCACGCTTCTGACTGGCATCCTATCAAAAATCCATCTAGCTTCAGCAATTCTCCCAAACTTTGCGTACATATCAACCAATGCATTGCATATGATAAGGTCATCCCTAAGCTTATCCGATTTCAAAATTCGGGCATGAATTTCCTTACCTTCTCTTATCGCACACAAACTCGCACAAGCACTTACTACACTTGCCAAGGTCTTCTCATCTGGTTTAAACCCAAAGTCCATCATCCTAGAGAATACCACAAGAGCCTCCTTCACTGGCCCATTTTGCTCATAACAAGAAAGTAAACTATTCCACGACACCACATTACGCTCACACATCCCATTAAACACCTTTGCTGCACAATCCACATTACCCGTTTTTGAGTACATGTCAATTAGCGCAGAACCCATGTAAACACTTCTCGAATATCTCGATTTAGCAACCGAGGCATGAAGTTGAGTTCCCATTCTCAAGTCCCTCAACCCTGCACAAGCACTTAAACCACTTCCATAACCATACTCATTCAAAACAAAATCTTCTTTGTGCATTCTCACAAGAAACTCTATCGACGAATCAAACAATTCACATTGAGCAAAGCTCGAAACCATCAAATTCCACGAGCATTGATCAGGCTCAGGCATTAAATAAAACAGTTCCTCAGCCTCAAAAACCAATCTTGATGTTGTATATGCATTCATCATGGAATTCCAAGTAAAGGTATTTCTCTCAGGCATTTTATCAAACACCTTCTTGGCATACTTTAACAGCCCAGATTTCCCATAAGCGTCGATTAGCTTGTTGTTTATGAAAACCTCGGAGCTAAAATGGGTCTTGAGAATTCGACAATGGACAGTTTGTATGACATATTGGGACTTGGAATTGATGTAAGAATCTAGAATCTTGGCAAAGGGAGTTGAGTTTGAGAGGGAGAAGAGGTCCCAAGTGATGAGTTTTTTGAATAAAGAAGTGTCTTTTGTCATTTGACATAGGATTTAAGGAAGTTTGATTAATGGGCATGTTGTTAGAACATCAGATGGAACAGAAATAAGCACAGATTTATGTGCTATGCTTAAGAAGAAGTGCCAGCCAATTGGGTTGATCGGAAATCTTAGTTGCTCAATTGGTTTGATAAGTAGCTCAATTGAAAAATTCAATTTTAGTAACTCAGTTGATAGATTGATCGGATTTGAATTCTTAAAAGTTGCTGAGAGTGTTATCAGATCTTTCAAAAGTAGTGTCTTTATTAAAAAAAATAATTTTATGTATCCAACAATATTTTTAACGAGTCCAATCAATGCGAGTAGAAACATACAGAAATCTTGGTCCAAATGATTTCTTCAATTCATAATAGAAAATGAAATGGACATTGTGGCTTTATTACTGTTAAACAAAAAGTCCGTGTTAGGAAGTATTTTTCCAAAATAAGTCATACCAATGTAAATTCGAGTTAATCAAGTTTCAATACGAATATCAAACACCAAATTGAAAATCCAAAAAATAAAAAAAAGGAAGAGACATTATGGCTTTTTTTCTTCTCTTTTAGGACATCATGGTTAGAATTTTATCAATTTAGTTACTGTTTTCTCACTAAATGTACCTGGCTTATAGTTCTGGAAATCTATTAGGCTCACATTAAGTAAACCATTATCCAAAGCTCACTCTAAGATTGTCCAATTTATCAGGCCAAAAAAACTTGGCTACTATAATGAAATATTGTTATAAAGAACGATGATCGTTGTAGAAATATGACTGTATATAAATGTGGTGAATGCTTTAGAAGTTGTTTCATCACCATGTCTTAGCTAAAACTGTTAAAAAAACCATAATTGAGATGAAGTGAATTGACAAATTAAAGAAAATGTTACAAAGCCTTTCTTCTCCTTAAGAGTGTGATAAAAACACTGTCCCATCAGCCATAACTACAAATACAGTTATGACTTACAGCTCCCCATAAGACTAGTTACCTAAGTCTTAACAAAGACATGATACGGCAAAAACATGATGATACAAATAAGATAAACGCGCTCTACAAGGGTTAATAGAAGCATCACCTCAGAAGTTATATCTAGGAGGAACCTTTTTCTGGCGAACTTCACATTATGAAAACTGTAAGTGTCTAAGAAGATAAAATTCCTAAACAGTGTTATCTCAGCACCGATGAGCAGATGATGTTATGCATGTATATAGAGCCCTGAAGAGGATTTGTTGAATAATCACCTCACAAGTGGAATACCAGAAGGAACTTTTCTCATATAATCTTCGTAGTCAGAACCAAAGAACTGCTTGAGGAAAAACTCCTCGTAAGGTATCCTTCCCGAGAAGAATTTCCACACAACAACTGTAAATGCAACGGTTGATATTGGATTACAGAGCATTATTTGCGTACCAACAGACCAGATGAAGAAGCCACAATAACCGGGATGACGGACAAATCTATAGATCCCATTCGTAACCAACTGATGATTTTCCTCATGATAAACCTTTATTAGATGAGTGAAGGCTTGGCCTGCTGTCACAATTGCCAACTTCCTTATGATTTCTCCGAGAACAACCATTGCAAGGCCAAAATTACTTATCCACCAATATTCCTTTAAGCCGGGAAAGAAATAGATTTCAATAAGGTACTCTATCAAGGAGCAAATCATTGCTAGTACATAATGTTTGCTTATCAAAAGCGACTTAAAAGATACATTCGACTTCCCATGAAAGACAAGTGCCAGAATGTACTCGGAAACATGGAAGAATATAATTGAAATGAACATTTGCAATAATTGTCTGCATGCTGTATATCCAAAAAGCTCTGCCATTTCACGCGAATAAGTCAAACAAAACCTCTCGTTAAAATTACTAAAATGAGATCTCAATCTGATTCATCAAAGGCTTGAAATCATGATACGCTATGTTTCAAATTTCAACTCCAAACCTGAAAATGTTGATGAGCTCTGTACAATTAGCACCACAAAATGGGCTTCAGAATCAATGAAAATATCCTTTAAGAATGACATTTCCTGCAAATTTATGCGAGCACCATTCAGGAACAAAAACATCACATAACACAACTTAGATTCTATATGTGCATTTATGTTGTTCGGACTCTTCAAAAATGTCAATGGGTGCGTGTCGGATTCTCCAAAAGTAGTGTATTTTTGAAGAATCTGACACGGATGCGGCATCAAAAGTGAAGAGTCCACGCAACTTAGAGTTGTGCATTATACACAAGATCATTCTCAGTTTGTCTCCAATATCATTTTATACAATCTCTTATTCTATATGTAAGGTTAGATATCATAGTAATCCTTAACCTCTCACGGTTCCTCTTTAAACATCATCAATGGGATTTTGGTGTCAGTACAGAGCTTTAGATATTAGTCTCTCTAATAAAGCAACAATCAATCAATCAACATAACACGTATCCAAACTAGCCGGATTCAGGCACATTTTCACTACACTTGATAACTTGTCATTTAACACTCCATTACTAAATAATCATGAAAAATAACAAGTTATTAGAAAATTAACTACCACTTTCTCTAACGAACTAATATCAACTAAAGGGCTGTATTGGAGACTAACTTAGATAAGGCAACTTAATAAAAAAGTTATCCTAGAAATCAAATTCTACAGCACAGATCATCAGGATCATTTAGTAAATGACTCGGAAATTGAGTTCTATCATGAGTCCACAAGGGCAGATAAGGATATAGAATTTCTATAACATTGGTGCACCACTGAAAAAAACATTTTTTTTAGCATCAACTGAGAATTGATCATTGTTCCTTTAGGTAAATAATTAAGCATTCAATCAAGTGCACCATTTAATCTTTTAGGAGCATGAACGCCAACAGATAATATTAGATTAATTCTGTGAAATATGTACATAAAATATCTAATTTGGTAGAGAGACCATAGGTTCACGAACACCATAAATTTCCCTATAAATCCACCCCGCCCAAGGGAATGACCTAGTGAGTAAAAAAACTGAAAAATCCCAAGTTCGAATATCAGCAGCAACACTAGACAGAACCTGTACTTGTGAGCTAGACAACAAGCTACCCCATAAATTAATCGAGATGCACGCAAGCAAGAGCGGCTCAACCCTAAATCCACAAAAGCAGCAGCGGCTTTAGGCCTCCAAAGAAAACATACCGAAGATGCACAAAAAAGAAATGAATTCAACCAAAAGGCAAGACTAAACGAAGAACAGATGAAGGAGATTTACATACAGAAAAGAGCCAACCAGATCTGATGAAGGGGATGTAAAATATTAGTACTATTAATTATGAGAAGCACCGTATTAACCATTAGCACACTTGGCAAGAAACAAAATATCCATAAAATCATATATATATATATATATATATAAAAGAGAATCTTAGATCCGCCTACGTTGCGTCACAACAAATCAAAATTTCCTTTTAATTTATTTATTTACAAAACTAGCCTTCTCTTTCATGAAAAGTTGTGAAATTTATGAAAAATTGTGACTTTTATGAAAAGTTGCGACTTTAATGAAAAGTGTTGATTTTTATAAAAGTTGTGACTTCTAAGAAAGGTTGTGTCCTTTCCTAAGAGTTGTGACTTTTATGAAAAGTTATGACATTTCCGATAAGGCACAATAAACATTTGTTTACACTACCCATTGTTGTTTATAAATATAGGGATTTCCTCTCATTTTAAAACAATGAAAATTCTGAACCTCCTCTTCCTCTTCTTCTTCTTCACAATTAAATATTTGTGTATTTTGGTTCTGTTGAGTGGCTCACTGATAGGTTTTAAATATTATTTTATAAATTCTATGATATTAAATTCCGGCGTGAAGCACGGGTAATGTTACTAGTATATATATGTATTATTAACATTAATTTAAAATTTTCTTAATAGTTTGTTGCTAATCACTTACTAATTACTCCATCATTTCTATTTGCTTGTCAAATATTTTCTAATCAAGGAAGTACAAATTTCTTTTGTTTAATAAACTCTCAATTTATTAACATTGAGTAAATGTCTTTGAAAAGTATAAAGAGAAACTATATTTGAAAATCTATCAATTAATAGAGGTAAAATGATAAGCTTGTTATATCAATCATTATTTTCTTAATAAGTGTATCAAATCAAAATTTCACAAGTAAATAAGGACAATGGGAGTATTATGCACGTATTTTTGAAATTTTATTATTGATGTAATTATAATTAAAAATTGTAGACAATCAAATTGGCTTTGTAAGATTATCTTAAACTTAAACCAATTAGATTGTCAAATAATTGAATTTTAAAAAATATTATCTTGACTTTGAATGTCTTCTAAAGTAATAATCACAATAATATTGATTATTAAAAGTATTACAAAATATTATATAAAAAAAAAGATACTTTAATTGACATATTCAATGAAGTGAAGTCAATTTTGTTTTAAAACAATTTCAGAATAATTTTGATAGCTTATGTAACAATTTTTTATTTATTTATTTTTTTGGTAGAAATGTAACGTACAATAATATATATATATATTTATATATATATATATATATATATATATATATATATATATATATATATATATATATTTCTTATTTTAAAATTATAATCAATTACAATATTCTTTTAGAATTTATAAGAATAAAATATATTAAAAATATAAATAAACTTAACTCTCTTTTTTAAATTTTGTCTTTAGACCACTTAATCTATTGAGTCGCAAACAATATCCATACGAACAAAAGTCACGATGATTTTTTATTTTTTTATCAGTCTAGCTGAAAGTTGAATAACAAAAAACTAAAAATGTTTAATCTTTCTTTTAGAGAAATTATTTGTAGAAAATTGATTTACGACTTTGGAATCATTATCACATGTGAAAACAAATAAATTTGCAATTAACTCGAAAAAATAACAATTATAGGAAATCATAAATATTAATACCCATACGAAATGAAATTGTATTTTCACAAAACTGTAAAAGACTCGAGATCTCCGTTCAACTAGATCTGAGAAATGATGAAGAAGATGACTTTTGGTTTCTTTTTAGGGAGTGCAGACCTTAGAAGAAACCAATTTATTAGAAAGAATAAAAGAGACTTTGATTATTTCTCATCATATTTTATTTCTTATTGGGCAACTTTATTCATTTTGTATTTTCCTTTGGCACTTTGTAATTTTGTTTGTTTATTCATAAATAAAAGGGTTTAACTGTCCACAAAAATTGCAATAAAAAAAAAACTAGTGATATTTGATACGTCATGGTTAATGACATGAATGGAAAAAACTGAGGGTGAGTCGACTGTTTTGACAGCCTTGAATGGCTGATGTGTTGGTTTTGAGGAAGGATGTAAACGAGCTCCAGTCCACAAATAATACAATGCTTTTGGGGCAAGGTACCACTTCTCGATGTTCAGGCTTCTTCTTGCCTCCTTCGGTTCCAAGAGTTAAAGAGGGGTTATCGGGTTCACGTGAACCCATGCTCCCCTCGAGAGATCATATATAGTAGTGTTATATTTTTTAAAAATATTAAAATATAGATGTATGAATCCATATTCGGAGTATCATATAATGTTATGATGACTGGATGCACCTCTCCATGTGAAATTAAAAAATTGAATTTTATATTTATCTTGTTTTATTTTTCTTTCTAAAATTAGATAACACCTCTCTAAATGGTTATTGGTAACATTTTGGCATTTTAATTAATTTTGGACTTATAATATTAATTTGAATGGTTTTCAGTAATAAAAACCTAAATGTCGAATCGATCAAATTTATATCTTAGATCAACCTTTTTTGTAATAATGCACCCATTATTTCGAAATCCTGAATACGCCTCTGCCTTCAGTTACAAGAGTTGGTGAGATAGCATGGCTATGATTGAGAAGGTTGTTGGGGACTCCGGTTCCAGAGACGAATGAAAAAAAGCTGGAGATAGAGGGAGAGAGAACAAATCTGCAAATCAATGAAGGAGATCGAAATTCAGCTATTGGGGAGGAGGCCGTGCGTTTGGATGCTAGAAGGAAAGTAAGCGGGTATTTTGAAACGGGCCTTTAATTTGAACTGGTTAGATAGTTCCATCCAAACAAGTCCATATGGATTGGGCTTGTGAAGCTATATAAGATGGCATGTGATTTTCTCTAAGATAAAGAGGGACATTATTAAGATATCCAAATTCTTCAAAAATATGATTTTGAATTTGAAATCATAATTTTTTTTTTAAAATATAAAATTTGATCCAAATTTATATTTTGTTTAAAAAAATATATCATTTTAAATTTTGCAAAAAACAAAAGAACTCATGTTCAGCGTTTAGTTTAGAGATTGTTCGTACCAGGTAAAAAGATTATATTATAAAATAACTAGTTACTACTATTGTTGACTTGTAGATCTTTATAAATTATGTGTTTTTGAAAGTTTGTAATCACAAATATTTGTTTACAAAAGGAACAAGAAGATATGAGATTTATCAATGCGACAAATATTTATTTACAAAAAGAGAAGATATGAGATTTATCAATGCGGTGGCTGGTGCCTTAAAATATTTTGATATCTTATTTATAAATCATGATTTGCTCATTTTGGTAAAATTATACAAGTGGTAGAGAAATTTTAATAATTTTCATAACTGGTAAGATTTTCATATTTAAGAGAAATTCAAATTACATATCTAAAACAAATTTTAATTTCAAATAATATCCAAACGAGGCCTAACTTGTTTAGACTTGTCAAATATGTGTTCAATAGACACATAAAACTATGATATGTGTTCCATAGGTTACACCTCTAATCGAGGAGTCTAAATAATTTTCTTTGACAAATTTAGGGGTCACATACTCACATATGTATTGAGCCTAACTTTTGTAATGAACCATACACCATTGATGCATTTTTATCGAAAATTAAAAATTCCAAAAGACCCCCACAGACAACTAATATCTTTGGATTTGTTTAGTCAAGTTTTTAAAATTAGCTTATTTTAAAAAATCCAAAAAAACATCTTTAAACAGCAATTAATGTTTGATCAAATATTTTAAATATTTATATGTGTACTGTTTTTCAACCGGGGGGGGGGGGGGTGTCCCAATTTATGTGACACGTTTTTCTTTTTACTTAATCACAAAAACAATGACATATTTTTTTCTATTAAATAACAATTTAATTTTAAAATGCTCATTTTATTCTGAATGATATATTTATACCCACACAATATTTTAGCCACAAATTTCGAAAGTATTTTTTAAATTTGTGGTAAGTTAAACAGCATGAGACTAATTTTTTTTTTTTTTTAGCTTAAGAAAAATTAATGCATCATTACTTGCTAGTCTCTTAAATTTCTCAGTATCCATAAAAATTACTTTTGTGTGCAACACTTGGATTCTTGGTGTAGTGTGCCATTCATCTGTCAGAAATAACTCTTTGGTCTATTCTTTCATACCTCGCTTGTGGAATTATATTGTTTGTTGTTTGTGTCATTGATGCACTGAAGAATCATCTAGATAATTTTTGTAACTGGTATGTTGATTACGAGTTCAGCCGAATTCAGTAATTTTAGTTCAAACTCTAAATTTACAGCAAGAAATTCATTGTAAGTATATAAATTATTAATATAGAACTCAATAGCTTAAAATAATTAAAATTTTGAACCCGCAAGCCTCAAATTCTAACTCCACTCTTTGCTTACAACATAATTTTATGCATCAATAACTTACTTAATAAAAAAAATATTCATACACCTAAGACACTTATTATATAATATATAATATATAATATAATTAATTATAAGTAATTTTTTATAATAAATATTAACCAATAACTTAATTAAAATAATAACAAATCTATAATTTATGCTGATCAGATCTTTGAGAAATGAAGCCATACCAGTATACATCTTCCAAAAGTGCATGATTTATGGAATATCCGACACACCGGATGATATTTTTGAATCATACGGGCAATATAATAGTTTTTCTTAGGCTTATATAAATACGTTCTTTAATTTGATTTCAGTTGACATTTATGTCCTCCAACTTTGAGTGTACAAAAGTATGCTCTCAAAATTGTATAAAATTGAACAAACGTCCTATGTGTCATATTACACGTAGGACGATGTGAATTGCCACATATGACGCATGTGTCTACTTATTCAATTTTGTCCCAGTTTGAGTTGTCTACTTGTGCACATCCAAAATTGGAGAAACGTAATCTAAAGCCAAATTAAAGAACATATTTATGTATTAAGTCATTTTTTTTTTATATTATCCGTTGATATAACTTAAATTTGAAAATAACATTGTTGAAATAATCATTTTAAAATAAATAAAATAGAAAATGAAAAGAAAAAAGAAATGAGAAGGTACATACACGTAGGCAGAAACTACCACAGCCATTCAGTTAAAAGAGTGACCCAAATGTAATCTCCAAGTCATCAACAATCTCATCCATTTCTGCCCCTCTGCTCTTTTGCTGCAAAAAAACACTAAAAATAACTTCTTCTTCTTTCAATTTTTTTTTGTTTCTGCATATTCACCAACCCCATCTCAGGTGCAATTCAAGAAACTTATATTTGGTGGGGAACCAGTGGATCTATGGTTGTTGTTTTTTACATTCAATAGTAAGTCTCACATTTTACTTGCATTTTCTTTTTCCAAATATTGATACTTGATAGTCATAGGGCGGAGCTAGAAGCTCAGATACTTTAGTTTTTGCTCAAATTATGTATTTATGTTTACGAGATTTATTAAATACCTAAAAAGTATCAAATTTAGAACCCTGTTGTTATGCTATAAAAGTCATTATTCTATAATTCAGAACGGATAAAGTTGAAATTCTAGCTCTGCCTCTGTACTTGTTGGTACAATTTTTTAAAAGGTAAATTGGAAGTAATTTGCAATAACATAATTTTTGTTTTATATTTGAAGTTCAGTTGTATTCTAGTAGTTGAATTACAACATTTTGAAGGTTATCCAAGTAAGTTAGTTTAACTGGTATGAGATATTTAATGATATGTTCTTGGAAATTAGGCTTTTGAAGGCCGACCATCTCATTCAAAAGTTCAAGTTGTGGATCATGTTTCTTTTTTAAGCCCTTTTGCATATTTATTTTATTTTAGTTTGAGAAAGACAATATGTACTCTGTGTTGTTGAAGGTTGATCATCTCATCCAAAAGCTAAGTTGTTAGAGGTGAATACAGTTCTATTTATATTTTATTTGATTGACTTTCAATATGCCCCTAATATGTGGCCTAGTTCTTTGTTATGGGCCTAGCATGTAGAAATTCTTTTTGATAATGGGTGACAGTGAGACTCAAATCTAGGACCTCCGTCTGCCCTAAAATCATGTTGAAGTGAGTGATCATTTCATCTAAAAGTAAAAGTCTAAGCCGTTAGAGTGAGGAAAATTACTTTCTTCCGATCTCATTTTGTCTTGTTTCTGTTTCAGAGTAACAGGAAACAGATAAATACATGCCTGAGGGGATAATCTTTTCTCGAAATAAGCCTTGCTTCTCGGAATCCGTTGAACTATCGAAAAGTTTGAGCTATTCGACACCAACTTTCTGTTAATCTTTGAACTTTATAGGCTTTTTCTTTCATATCCTGTGAAGATAGAAACTGACATTCAATCACCATTGTCTTTCATATAGTATATAACAGTTTTGCCAAAGGAAGTATAGATACAAGAAAAGCAATGAGTCAGTTTTCGTTTACTTCTTCTTCGAGCTCTAATTTCACTCTCTTCTATCATTCTCAGAATCATAATCCTTCAAAGTTTCATGTTTCTGCCCCCTTTAGAACATCCCAACCTTCGCCTTCACATCCTATTTTACCTCCCTTATGTTCCCGTGAGCCGTCTTCATCATCACCACTTCTTGAAGAAAAGCCAGAAACATCACAATCTTCTTCTAAGTTTGATCCTCAAGATAGACTAAGTTACAATGATGAAGTTGCTGATGAGATCAGCACTACAAAGAAGTCCTTGGAAGAGTTACTTGTTGTTCGTAGGCCGGTGAAGGATCCTAACGTGGCAAATGATGATGAAAAAGGGGAAGCGGTGAGTAACTTTGAGGATTCTCAAGAGAGAAATGATCTTCTGGAAGAACAACCATCTTCCTCATCATTTCCACTTGATGCCGGCCTTAAGAAATTTGCAAAAAAAGTGCCAATTTTTGAGCCAAGTAGGCTGGAATCTGACTCCGGAGAGAAGCCACTTAAAGTCAATTTAGATTTAGCTCTGTATAAGGCAAAGATTTTGGCTCGAAAGTTTCAGTATGCAGATGCAGAGAAAATTTTGCAACAGGTAGTCATTCGTTGATCCAACAAATATAACTCCCTTGTTCTTTTCTCTTGATATTCAGAGGATTTCGTTATTCGCTTAATAATGTTACTGATTTCTGGATCTTTTACACATGAAGTGTATTGATGTCTGGCCAGAAGATGGGAGATCATATGTTGCTTTGGGAAAGATTTTGAGTAAGCAATCAAAACTAAATGAAGCCAGAACTGTTTACGAAAAAGGCTGCCAGGCAACACAAGGAGAAAATCCTTACATTTGGCAGGTTAGTGTTGTTACATTGTCTATGAATGTATTTAGTCTTCTCCTGTGCTTCCGGACTACACATTAATCTCGTGCTTGAATAGGAATCTGTTGTAAGTTAAAAGTGTCTCTACTAGCATAGTATAATGCATAAGTTGATTTTCAAGTTTATCGAATCTGTTGTTTAAGCACATAGTATTTAGTTCTAAGGATTTGGCAACCTAAATAGATGTCATATTCCCAAATGAAGTAACAATCATTATGAGTAGTACATTATGTGTAGTTTCCTAGTGATCTTTAACCCTGTATAATAATTGTTTTGGGGTTATGTGGAACAATTGATTCATATACTAAGCGTACAGATCTTTTGCTATTATTCACCTTGCTACAGCCTACAGGCAATAATCTGGTCTAAGGTCATGTGTAATACTTCTCTGAATGAAGTTCAAATTTTCAGATATCGAAGAAGAGAATTTGATCAGTAATCGTTGATTGTGTCTTAACATGTATCAGTGGATTGGTCCTCGAGTCTGTTAGATGTTTTAAGAGGAAAGAAAGAACTAACTATAAAGATATTGGGTTCAAGTTCAGAACATCCATTTGCAGATGATGTGCCTTTGTTGAAAACAATATGACATACTACATGTCTTCTTGCAATTTATCTTTTTTGTATCAGAAAGTTCACCAAACTTACTCCTTTGGACTAGTGTTGGGCTATTCTGGAAAATAGGATGGGTAATTTACGGAGAGCTAGAGAACTATTTGATGCTGCGACAGTTGCTGACAAGAAGCATATTGCAGCCTGGCACGGATGGGCAGTTTTAGAGCTAAAGCAAGGGAATATAAAGAAGGCAAGAAATCTTCTTGGCAAAGGCCTCAAGTTTTGTGGAGGTAATGAGTACGTATATCAAACTCTTGCGCTCCTCGAAGCTAAAGCAAAGCGATACGAAAGAGCCCGCTATTTGTTCAAGCAGGCGACAAGGTGTAACCGAAAAAGTTGTGCTAGTTGGCTGGTAAGAGTTATCCAAAAACTTTAATCTGTCTCAGATCTTTTCGAGTGGTTTATGCGCATGTTGTTTCTGGATTCCTTATAGTGGTTCTGTATTATCTTTTGTAGGCATGGGCTCAACTAGAGGCTCAGTTAGAGAATAACCGTGCTGCTAGGCAGCTATTTGAGGTTTGTGATTTCTGAAGTTGTTATTTGATATCTTCATTGAGCATTTCCTTTTGGCATAATACATAAACAAACACTTGAAGTTGGTGTGCTTAACTCGAATTCGGCTAAGCTAGCAAGTAAGCACTCCACCTTTGAGAGTGCACATCTGGTCTTAACTGACAACTAAACTCTCCAACTCGTCCTACATTGATGTGGCACATAAGTTTTGGAGGTGTCTAGATTATCATTTTGTAAGTTACAGTGTTCAACTTACATAGTGGAAACGAGTTGAGGTGTTTGGATGTGCACTCTCAAAATTTGAGTGCTTACTTGCCAGAGGCCAAGTTTGAGTGTCTGGTTATGTATTATTCCTTTACTTTTTATTTGATGCCTTTGTTACTTTATTTTCATTTTATTTATTTTTCTTGTACTTGATACTCCTGACAAAGCAGAAAGCAGTTCAAGCCAGTCCGAAAAATAGGTTCGCGTGGCATGTGTGGGGAGTTTTTGAAGCTAATCTGGGAAATATTGACCAAGGACGGAAACTTCTGACAATAGGGCACATGGTGAATCCTAGAGATCCTGTTCTTCTCCAGTCACTTGGTTTGATAGAATACAAGAACTCCAGTGCAAACCTTGCACGAGTTCTATTCCGAAGAGCATCTCAATTGGATCCAAGGCATCAACCAGTTTGGATTGTAAGACCTTTCTTTTTAATAGTAAATGCTAAGTTCTTAATTTTCAATAGAATATCGAATGGACTCGTTTACTAAAAGACTCACTCGAATCGATCAAGCTCTTGACATGGTTAATAGAAGATGAAAGACTAAAAGAGCTGAATACATTTGATGAACTCATGACTGCTTTTTCCATTTTTTCTCAACAGTCTTAATATAATAAAACTTGTAACTTTAACAACTATGAAAAAGGAACAATCAACAACTGATCATACCTAACTTGGTACTGATGTAGGCTTGGGGTTGGATGGAGTGGAAAGAAGGAAACATTTCCACTGCTCGGGAACTATACCAGAAAGCTCTATCGATCAACTCAACAACTGAAAGTGCTGCGCGCTGTCTTCAGGTAATGATCATCTCTAATAGATAGAGTAAGTTTCTAGTTTGCTTTTCGTAAAACATTTTGATGCAAATTGTGGAGGTTAGTCCAAATTCGTAATTCTGGCGTGCAGCTTAATCTGTCCTTTGTTCCAACAAGTAGTGAATTCTGGTTACATGTAATCTTTTCCACATAGGAAATGTACTAAAAGAGTTGTTTACTACTCTTTAAATTTGTTTTATAGGCCTGGGGTGTTTTGGAGCAAAGAGCTGGAAATCTATCAGCTGCTCGAAGATTATTTAGATCGTCTCTGAACATAAACTCTCAGAGCTATATAACATGGATGACATGGGCAAATTTGGAGGAAGATCAAGGCAACTCTATCCGTGCAGAGGAAATTCGTAACCTCTACTTTCAACAGGTATATAAGTCATTTCCTTCAATGACCACATTTCAAGCATCATTTTCGATATTTACTGTTACTGTTTAACTAAATCAGTGTTCCATAGAGCTGCACTTCCCCCTTACATTGTTAGACCTTTTTCTTTACACAGCGTACTGAAGTTGTTGATGATGAGTCGTGGATTATGGGCTTCTTAGACGTCATTGATCCAGCGATTGACAGCATAAAGAGGCTCTTGAATTTAGATCAAAACTCTTATTACAAGGTAAAAGAGTCTACTTCTAATACTACTGCTGGAGACGACGTTGAGGGGAGCACAGAAGAATCAGCTTCCCCCTCCTCGGCTAATGTCAAGGACAATAACATAGATACAGGAAGTGGCTTTGATTTAGATGATTTTATCCGCATAATGCTGTCTTTGGACCCTTCAAAACTGGAAGTTCAGCTTACAACATCTCTTAAGGATCCTCCGAAAATCGCCAGAACCACTAATGGGGTGTGGCGACCAGCGACAAAAACTAGTAGAACATCAACAACACTTTGATTTTACAACAACAACGACATACTCAGTGTAACCTCACTAGTGGGGTTTGGGGAGGCCGGAGGGTGATGTGTATGCAGCCTTACCTTTACCTTGCGAAGGTAGAGAGACTGATTCTGACTCGGCTCAAGTGATTTTATGAAGTTTATTGTTCTTTAGTGGGAATTGCAACATTCATTAGTATTGTCAAATGAAGAAATCTTGGACCACATTTTGTAAATTAGTTAGGAATATTGAGAAGAATTGTATAAATTTGATTGTGAAATCAAATTACCTAGAAATACACATCTACAAATATTATGAGTACCATTGTATAATATCTTTCTTTGACAACTTATATAATGCATTTCATGAAAACGCTAATCGCTTAAACCTAATTATCGAGTAATCGATCGAGTATTTATGTATAGTCGATATCAATTAGTTTGGAATTGAGGCGCAATTATTTTATCTAAAATTGTGGTAAAGTCGTGTGAACCAATCACCAGCCACTATGATATATTCTCCAACAAGTGGAGGAAAAGGAACATTCTATTTAATGCCATCATAAGGAGAAATGTGGATCATTTGTCACCACCACATTTGTCCTACAAATAAATGTCAGCTTCAATTTATGCTCACTAAGCTCAAACTTTATATTTATTTGGTCCAACAACAAAGTTATTCATAAAAGATCGTCCAACAGTGACATGAATTCGATCTCCTTATAAAGAAATTAGTTGATAAATAAAATTGAGTTAATCAAACTTCATGTTAATCATAACAACAATGGAACCTTGCAATATTTCTAGACTCTAAGTCAGCTTAGGAAGATGATAGTACAAAGAAAAAGGTATAATATTTACACTTAATCAAATAATAACAATTTAGGGTGTATTTGGTATGAAAGAAAAATGTTTTCCTGGAAAACAAATATATTTTTGACTTATTTTCTCATGTTTGGTTGATGAGTAGAAAATATTTTTCGAAAAAGAGATTTTAGTGTTTGATTTATGAATGAAAAATGTTTTTGAAAAATATCTTTTATTTTTACTAGAGAGTAGAAAATAATTTTTAAAATTGAAAAGACTTTTTTTTGGGGGGGGAGGGGGTAGTAGGGGGGCTATCCAGGGGGGGGGGGGGTCAAGGATAGGAGTGAGAAAATAAAAATTTGGAGTTGAAAATATTTTTTAAAAACAAAATTAAATTTTTTTTGGGAGGTGGGGGGAGGTCGAGGGTAGGGGTGAAAAAATAAAATTTTGAAGTTGAAAATATTTTTTAAAAACAAACTTAATTTTTTTTGGGGGGTTGGGGGAGGGGGTGGGTCGATGGTAGGGGTGAAAAAATAAAAATTTGAAGTAGAAAATATTTTTTTAAAACAAACTTAATTTTTTTTTTGGAGGGGAGCTGATGGGAGGTCAAGGGTAGGGGGTGGGGTGGGGTAAAAAAATAAAAAAATGAAATTGGAAATATCTTTTAAAAGCTACTTTCAATTATTTTTTTTGGGGGGAGGGGGGTGGTAGGGGCTGGGGGGTAGGGGTGAGGGTGGGATAAAAAAATAAAAAATTGAATTTTAAAATATTTTTTAAAAACAAGCTTTAAATTATTATTTTTGTGGGGGTGGGGGGGTGTGAGGGTACAGACAAAATAAATTGATTTTTTTCAACAAAATAAATTGTAATTTGAAGTTGGAAGAGAGTTTTGGAAAATGTTTTCCTTAATTTTTGAAGAGAAGTCATTTTTCTTAAATTTGAGAAAAATAAGTTGATTTGAAAAACATTTCCAAAACATTTAATCCAACCAAACATGAGAAAATTGAAAAACATTTTCCAAAAAATATTTTCCTTCCTCCCAAACACACCCTTAATGTGATCAAGCAAATAAGATATAATACTTATTTTTTATAGAAAAAAATATTTTACTTCCTACCAAATACACCACTATTTCAAATCTAAAGGATAAGGGTAGATATCATATAAAGGAAGAAATTTTTTTGAAGCCACAAATTTACAAAGGTGTTGATGTTTCTTTCAATGTAATTTGAAATCCTTATAAAGATAATTTGGACCAAATAAAAAAAATTACATTTTTATAATATATATATATATATATATATATAAAAGAGAACCTTAGGCCCACCTATGTGGCGCCACCACAAACCAGAATTCACTTTTAATTTGTTGCGACTTTTATGAAAAGTTGCGACTTTTATGAAAGTTGCGACTTTAATGAAGAGTTGCGACTTTTATGAAAAGTTATGACTTTTATTAAAGGTTGTGGCCTTTATGAAGGATTGCAACTTTTCCAAATAGTTGTAACCTTTCCGATAAGGCACAATAACATTTGTTCATACTACCATTTGTTGTCTATAAATAGAGGGATTTCCTCTCATTTCAAGACAACGAAAATTTTGAACCTTTTCTTCTTCTTCACAATTAAATATTTGTGTACTTTACTCATGTTGAGTGACTCAGTGACACCACTGCTTATGTTACAGATCCTAGTATGTATTTTTACAGTCATTAATTTAAGCTTATGTTATTAAAGATAAATGATAAGATGTAATAATTTTCATTTTTCTTTGCATTATTAATCTTTTATGTAAGATAATATAGTGTTTTACTTTTAGTGACTGATAAACTTTAAGTATTATTTTATATATTTTGTGATATTAAATTTCTGCGCGAAGCGCATGTAATTTTACTAGTGAGGTATATATAAAAAAGTTGGATATGGACAAAGGATTTCTAGTTATTGGCTGTCCAATGGCGGCAGGGAGTCTTAGTGACAAGGTGGCAATTTTCTTATGGATAGCAAATAACTGCCATGTCATTAATTTATACATAATATTTAATAGAAGAAAAGAATAATCAAATTGCACATAAGAATAAAACTCTTTGAAAAAATTTAATTAGAATTTTGCTTTCTTGATCATTAAAACTGTAATTTACCTTTTAATAATTAGAATGTTTTTTTTGTGTTTGCTAAGTAAACAGAAAATATTATTTAAATATAATTTATATATTAAGTAAATGCTATGAAGATAAAGGTAGAGGTGGAGGGGTGGGGCCGGAGGGGTAGGATGGGGGAAGACAACAAACATAAAAATTTATTATGAAACTTGTTTTTTCTACCTCTATTAAGATGTACTTAATAAGTTCTCGTTAGTTGTTTGCCTTGTTTTTCATATTATTAACTTTACTAGTAAAATTAATACTCATTCTTACTATGTCTCATGGACACCCGATGTTGATGTATTACATAAACATTTGAAGCATTTAGATGATCATTTTGTAAGTTGAAAGTGTTCACTGACACAATAAAAATGAGTTGAGGTGTCTAAATATGTATATTCAGAGTTAAATTGTGTACTTAGCAATTAAGGCCAAGTTGAGCGTTGGTTTATGTATTATGCCTAAAGAAAACAGGAACATATGATGCAAAAAAAAAAACAAAAAATCTAGGACATAAGTAAAAAAAAATTAAAATGGAACATACAAGTAGACAAATCTCAACCATACAATGAGTGGGAGGCTATCTACATCTATCTATCATCCATAATCTCATCCATTTTCTTCCCTCCATTCATTCATTCATAAACTTCCACATTTATATATATATATATATATATATATATATATATATATATATTATATACATTAAGTAAATACTATGAGGATAAAAGTAGGGTGGAGGGGTGGGGTACAAGGGTAGGATGGGGGAAAACAACAAACATAAAAATTTATTATGAAACTTGTTTTTTCTACCTCCATTAAGACGTACTTGATATGTTCTCGCTAGTTGTTTGCCTTATTTTTCATATTATTAACTTTACAAGTAAAATTATTATTCGTTTTTACTATGTCTCTTGGACACCCGATGCTAATGTATTACATAAACATTTGAAGTATTTAGATCATTTTGTAAGTTGAAAGTGTTCATTGACACAATGAAAACGAGTTAAGGTGTCTAAATATGTATATTCAGAGTCAAGTGTACTTACCAATTAAGACCAAATTGAGCATCTGTTTATGTATTATGCCTAAAGAAAACAGGAACATATGATGCAAAAATACAAAATATCTAGCACATAAGTAAGAGAAATTAAAATGGAACATACAAGTAGACAAATCTCAACCATACAATGAGTGAGAGGCCATCTATCTATCTATCATCCATAATCTCATCCATTTTCTTCCCTCCATTCATTCATTCATATACTTCCACATTTTTCTTCATCAACACATTACTGTACTGCTGTTGCTGTAATTCTCTAAAAGAACAATGGCTGCTCTCTCAGTAGCCAACACTTCTCTTAAGGTTCCTCATTCACTCGCCCTGCATTCTATCTATTATAAATTGATCCTGACTTGTTCGGGATTGAGACGTAGTTATGAATATGTTTGTTGATTTGTTGTTTTTTTTTAAACTGATGGACAGGTCAACAACAAAGGATTCTCTGAATTCTCTGGTCTAAGAACCTCATCAGGTGTTCCATTTGGAAGGAAAACAAATGATGATTTGTTCTCTGTTGCTGGCTTACAGACCTCTGCTGTGAGTATTATTATACAGCTACTACTATTATTGCATTATAAGATAGTTTAAGTTCTGTGCACTAACGATGTAAAACATTTATACGCAATCAGGTCATAACCTTAATTAGTATTGATAGTGTAAATAATTTAACATTGTCGGTGTATGTAACTTAAATCCTTAAAAAGTTTAAGGAAAAGAAGAATATGTATCCTTCATGTCTAGTTGTGATCAAGATGTGCTCTATGATCTTTTTTTTTCTTGTATGTGCTACCTTTTCTATGTTGAAAGCAACCTCCACACAAAGATCTTGATGCAAATTCATTAATTTGATAAGTTTGAAGGAAGATCAAACACTATAAAATGAATGATAACATTGTATAAATATCTAAGTTGTATTTCCTACCTACGTTATGTTGCTCGGACTCTCCAAAATTGTTGCTGCATCCATGTCGGATTCTCCAAAATCCACTACTTTTGGAGTATCCGACATGCACCTATCAACATTTTTGACGAGTCTAAGTAACATAGCTTCCAACAATGTTTCTTGTGGTAATTGGATTTAATGAAATGTAGATTGGAGGAAGGAAGAACAAGAGGATAGTAACTGAAGCAAAGTTGAAAGTGGCTATCAATGGATTTGGAAGAATTGGAAGGAACTTCTTGAGGTGTTGGCATGGTAGAAAAGACTCACCTCTTGATGTCATTGCCATCAATGACACTGGTGGTGTCAAGCAAGCTTCTCACCTTCTC